GGGGGAGGGGGGTCATTTTTTAGTTTAGTTTTAGTGGAGGTTTTGGCCAAATGTTCGGTGCCATCTGTTGTGAACGGTCGCTTAGACTTTAAAAATGGTACATCTGACTCTTTGGCTTTCGTGGATTTTTCTTTTTTGTAGTGTCCAGAGTGGTGAACAAATTTCCCAACTTTTAACATGATGTAGGGGTTGTCACTGTGAAGGTTGCACCAGCAGGAGAACTCGGTGTATTCTTTGTGATTTATTTGTTGGCAAAAACGGTAATGATGGATTCATTCATGTAGCTATATATATTATATATGACTAAAAAACTGCTGGTCATAGTTACCAGCCCGCTAAAAGTAAAAGTGCTCCAATAACATCAGAGCTCTCTGTTTTAAAAAAAAAAATTTTTTTGTCCGTTGAAGAACCCCAATCGGAACTGCAATAAATGAAATCCAAATTAAAATTTTTGTCTTGAAATCTGTTTCCTCCAGTCATACCAACTTATTCATTATTGTAATGACCTATTAAAAACGGCAGGCTTATTATTTGCAATATTTGTATGGTTTTATATAATATGTAAATTAATTAGATAATATCAAAATAGAATTTATATAATGTATATTTTTTATTTGACATTACACATGTCCAGTTTTTAGGGAGGGTCAGATGTGAACATTTTTACTACTGGTCAGCTGTCTGAGTCTTAGGACAGTCTGTGACCTGACAAAGGGTCACTAATGATCTGCTTTCTTCAATTGTGCGTGTTTTATACCTGTAGATTGTAGACTGTCATTGATTTGATTGCTCTTTCATCTTTTAAAAAAACCGACTGATCTTGGCTTGGTCATCCTTTGGCTGTGATGTCCAACAGTCTTGTTTGCAGGTTCTTAACAGTGTTTAGAGTTAGAGTGTTGTGGTTAATGTCTTCAGACTTTCTTTAATTCTAGTGTAAAAATAGAAGTATTTTTTTGGTATTTGTGTGTGTTTTATACTCCTTTCTCCTGTGTTCCTTACTGCAGCTGCTCGGTGTCTTGGTCGTGTCAGAGAGATATATATACATGTATATGAGTCGTTTGTCACAATGCAGGCAGTAAAACAACTGTGGGAACTCTTGATCTTTCCAGCGCCTCACTCTCTGTTTTGGTAGTGTGTGTGTTGCCATGTTACATGATGGTAGTCTGCTGTTCTTGCATCTCATTGAAATAGAAGTTGAGCTTTTTGTGCTTCCAGGAATGTGCTGTGCATGCAGGCTACACTGTCTACACCTTTGTCTAGGTCCCATACTGCTGAGATTCCCGCTCTTGTTCCAATCCCAGTTCCTGCTTTGTTCTGTGTCAGAGGATCTCTTGTTCCAATCCCAGTTCCTGCTTTGTTCTGTGTCAGAGGATCTCTTGTTCCAATCCCAGTTCCTGCTTTGTTCTGTGTCAGAGGATCTCTTGTTCCAATCCCAGTTCCTGCTTTGTTCTGTGTCAGAGGATAGTGTGTGGGGCTACTACTTGGGCTAGTTTAAACCACAAAGAAATGTCCAAAATGAAACTGCTTTTTCAATGAATTTTCTCTGTTTTCTTTTTTTTTTTCCAGTGTGCCTGAGGCTGCAGAGCAACCCCCAAAACAAAAGCGAATTCAGCGGCATCAGCCCAGAGAGATCGTTTGCTGACTTCGTTTTTGCCCACATCATTCTACATTTAGTGGTCATGAACTTCATCGGATGAATCTGTGCACAAGTGTAAGTTCTACTTTCTTGTAAAACAACCCTTGTGACTGATGTTGTGGAGTTTGTTTTTTTGTTTTTTTTTCAACCCTTCAAGTGTCAGAGGTAAAAAAAACCCACAACTGGTACAGTGAAACTGGTATTCCGATTGAACAAATACATGACAGAGCTAGCTCAGATACACCGGACCTGCTTGCTGGGTGAACAGCCTCTGCTGATGTGGACCTGCTTGCTGGGTGAACAGCCTCTGCTGATGTGGACCTGCTTGCTGGGTGAACAGCCTCTGCTGATGTGGCTTCACTCATTTTTCTCCCGCAACATCCTTCATCTCTTCCTGGAAACCATCCATAGCACCTGCATCGTGAATCATTATTGGCTTAGCTAGTGTTTATTTATCTTGTACGGTGCTCGTTGTGTAGAACGGTATATTTTTTCCCTGACTACTGGTCATTATTACAATGGTAAGCTAGTCTTGACATAGCCTAGATCTACGTCATGATTTGTGCACTGGTCATTATTACAATGGTAAACTAGTCTTGACATAGCCTAGATCTATGTCATGATTTGTGCACTGGTCATTATTACAATGGTAAACTAGTCTTGACATAGCCTAGATCTACGTCATGATTTGCGCACTGGACTGTGGAATCAAACGTTGCCGTATATAAATATGTATATATATATATAAATATATGCTAGGCTCTACACAGCAACATAACTTGTTGGGCAAACAGTACTTGTATAGATGATGTAGACGCAGGGTTGGTGATTTTTTTGATTTTTTAAATAAAAATTTAAAAAATCAATTTTTTAATTTAAATCAGATTTTTAAAATTTAAATCGGATTTTTTTGATTTTACAAAAAAATGTCGACACAGTTTGGGATTTTTTGTGGCTAAAAGTATGTTCTTTTAGTGCATAAGGTATTGTCTTTATTTTAACTAATGATTAATTTAAGCAACTGCAAAAGAAAGCCTTAATCTGCTATATCAGTGAATTATGGCTACAGACAAAAAATGAAGAAAATGTCAGTCTAAAAGGAAGGGGGGGGGGGGGGGGGGAATTATGCATAGATAAACTTGCATTTTATTACAGTGTGTGTGTGAGCACGCGCTTGTGTTTGTATAAAAAGAAAAAGAAAATGCTAATTTCAATTATGAAAAAAAAAGTAAATTGAGAACTGTATTATTTTACAGTGACGGGGGAAAGCAGACCTTTAAGCATGATTATATTAGTCTACTAAACCTTGTATCTGTTTTATAAAACCAAGGAAAGGAATTCTGAATGTTTTAAAGATGTAAAAACAGAATACATATTTTAAAAAGTGATTTAAATCACTGAGTTTTATTTTTAAAATCAAGTTGATATAAATTTTAAAAAATCAACTGATTTAAATCAGCCCAACCGTGATTTCAATTTATGAAAAAATAAGTACTTTGAGTACTGCATTATTTTACAGTGACAGGGGGGAAAGCAGACTTTTAAGCATGATTATATTAGTCTACTAAACCTTATATCTGTTTAATAAAACTAAGGAAAGGAATTCTGAATGTTTAAATATGTAAAAACTGAATACATTTTTTAAAAAGTGATTTAAATTACTGATTTTTATTTTTAAAATCAAGTTGATTAAAATTTAAAAAATCAACTGATTTAAATCAACCCAGCTCTGATTTCAATTATGGAAAAAAAAAGTAAATTGAATACTGTACTGTATTATTTTACAGTGACAGGGGGGAAAGCAGACTTTTAAGCATGATTATATTAGATCTAGTCTACTAAACCTTATATCTGTTTTATGAAATCAAGGAAAGGAATTCTGAATGTTGAAATATGTTAAAAACTGAATAAAAATAAATTTAAAAAAAAGTGATTTAAATCACTGATTTTTATTTTAAAAATCAAGTTGATGTAAATTTTAAAAAATCAACTGATTTAAATCGGTACCCAACCCTGTGTAGACGACAAAGGTGTGCGAGTCTGTACATGAGCTCTCTCATTTATCTACATTTTTTACCTCCCCTTGAAAGAATGCCAATCTATTTTGCATTAAATCCTTTTTCAGGTGTGGACTTTTTTCTTACATGGACAGGTTTTAAAAAAAAATTTTTTTTTGGTATTCCTTAAAACGTGCACAAAGTAAAATGTGTAGAAAACAAAAGATTTTTCTGTGTGTGCATGTTGGACTGTTGGTGTCCACTTTGTGAGGTAGATTCTGAACAGTGAAGTGAACTTGTTGATGTCGCTTTGTGGTGGGGGAGGTGACGGCAGGCTTGTGGTGGGGGAGGTGACGGCAGGCTTCTCGATAATCCAATAGCTATGATGTAACAAATGTGCACGGTCTGAGAGTTTGGTGGGAGGGCAGTGTGGGGCGTCTCTCATAGTTTGTGTACTTATATTGTACTTTGACTGACTGTATCTGCTTCTCTCATAGTTTGTGTATATTGTACTTTGACTGACTGTATCTGCTTCTCTCATAGTTTGTGTATATTGTACTTTGACTGACTGTATCTGCTTCTCTCATAGTTTGTGTATATTGTACTTTGACTGACTGTATCTGCTTCTCTCATAGTTTGTGTATATTGTAGGCTACTTTGACTGACTGTATCTGCTTCTCTCATAGTTTGTGTATATTGTACTTTGACTGACTGTATCTGCTTCTCTCATAGTTTGTGTATATTGTACTTTGACTGACTGTATCTGCTTCTCTCATAGTTTGTGTATATTGTACTTTGACTGACTGTATCTGCTTCTCTCATAGTTTGTGTATATTGTACTTTGACTGACTGTATCTGCTTCTCTCATAGTTTGTGTATATTGTACTTTGACTGACTGTATCTGGTTCTTTGTTTTGTCTCCAGGTAAACTGTGAGGTCTGGGAGAGAACGTTGTTGGATCGGGTGAATCGGTGGGGATGAGAGAGCAGCGCTGGCGTGGACTGCCACCTCAGCTGTTGGACGCTGCGACTGTGACTGTGCTTTCTGTTGTGATTACTTACTGTTCATTGTACACAAATAAATTTGCATAAAAATACTGATTCCTTTTTGTGCGATCATTTTAGAGTAACTGAACTCAAAGTGGTTTTAGGCCTACACATATTTTAATGTTGTTTAGATTGATCAAGATCGATCACTTCAAGGAAATGACCTTCACCTGTCATAAAAGTGCCAGGGGCGTTGCTTTTTGAAAGCTTTTCAAACTGTCAGAGAAAATCTTGTCATAGCTCTAGCATCTGTGTTTGTTGCCATTTTTGTTGCACTGGGGTTGGCTGCCATTGTTGTAATGAAGAAGGCAAAAGTAAAGACTCTGTTTGTTGATGAAGAAGGTTGATTTATTGAACATATAAGAAAATGACATGACGTCTGTCCTCTCTGGCTTCACTGACAAGACGGAATCATAATGAGCATGAGCACGTGTGGTTAAAACAGGAAGGAGGAGCGAGTAAAGATCACTAAGATCAGACAATCTTTGTTGTGAGGGTAGATAAAATAAAGTACAATTACAGGGACATAATTCAACTTAATCAAGGTAATATAGGGACCAACAATCCAGGATTTATTGCTGCCCTTCTATATATTGATAATAAGCAATCTAATAGTCTAACAATTTTTTTGTCCAAAAGTTGCCGCCAAAAATGGATAAAGTTGCCAAGGTTTCACAACCGAATGAAAAAAAATTAGAACAGCACATAAACAACCACAAAAATTGACAAATAAGGGCGAGTGTCCATCTGTCCAAAGATTGGCCGTTTTAACCCTAAGTGTGTGTAATTCAAGACAACGTACAGGATGTTTCATGTACATTATGAAATCACACACAAGGGGCGTGTCAGTGTTGGGTTTTGGTGGAGACCGGCTCTAACATAACACTATTATTAATTAACACATTTATATTTCTAAAAAGGTAGGAACAACATCAAATGAAACGACGTGCGCTAGATCTATACAAATATGGAAAATAGAAAAAGAACACATTGGAACTTCCTTTTTTTTTTTAAGTCCCCGGCGGCGGGGGTTTTTCCCCCTTCGAACAATGCAAATATCGCAGGCCCAAAAATGCCAAAAATCGTGGCCGAGATTCTCGGGTCGCGTCGCAACAAACGCAGATGCTAGATGTAGCTAGATAGGCGGTAGTTGTTGTTGTCTGTACAGTTCCTCATCTCAGTTCTGTGAGTGTGAGTGGGGGCTGACTGCTGGTCCTAGTTCCTTACTGGG